ACATGACAAGTAATCTCATTTGTACTGAATAGTTTATACGAAGGGGGCTTTCCATAAAGTAGCTCCATAGTAGTACTAGTAGTAGTACTGGGGAATCAGATATATGCTGCTGCTATTGAACGTTCGTAAAAGCTAGACATTGTCGTCATGGTTAGATTATAGGTGTTGCGTTCTAGCTACTTGTAGTTGAAAATAACCCGTTCCTCAGAAAGGCATATAGTAAGTTTACTATGGCAGTTATGATATAAAATGGTATCGATGAGACCACGCTGAGCTCAAGTTCCTTCCAAGAAACAAGGAAATCCGAATCTGATCGTGTCGATGAGATGCGTCACTCATGCGCATCGGATCTGCTACTACAATTTCTGTTGAAAATTAAAATAGCGGTAACTTCTTCCAGAAAGGTGTTAGACGTTAGATGATAAAGGCTACCGTATTAGCTAATCAGTGATGGTCGGCACATGGGAATACCTGTGATGACTTGCTGAAGTGGTCTAAATTCGAAATCGGATGAAAACATTTCTCTTCTCGTGCTTACTTAATTGAAGTATCGGGCGTACAACTCAAAATATTAATTAACAGTACAAAAATTAAACTGAGAATAAGAATTAAACATTTATTCAATGTACTTTTTATCAAACATGATCCGTTCATTTTTGATGTTTTGTCATATTCTGTTGTCATAAGCGTCTGGTCTCCTTTGGTGCATATGGTTGAATTAAGCAGACAAAAGAACTAAAAGCACAGTGTAACCAAATGCACTCAACTATAGCTTTATCTAATCGGGTTCACAGTGCTACCTATCTAGCAGCATAACATCCACACTAAAAGGATAAAGGAAGTACTTAACTATTAAAAATCAATAATCTCTGTTTCGTCAATAAATCATATTATTGATCGATATAACGCTTGTCAATAAAAGCACAGCCGTACTGCAGCGAACATCGTAGAACACTTGCAACAATAGCAATTTGTTCGGCTTCAAACGAACACCATCGTCAGCCCGGAGTCGGGGATCCTCTTGCTTAAAGTATAATGTTTATAGATTTGAATTGATTACAGCTAGCACCATCATTACTGCATCGATCGTCTCTTTTCCCCTTTCAGCTCTACCAGCCCACTTTTCTTCTTGGATTCCACGAAAGGAAAACGCTATCCTGGATGAAAAGTAGGGGTCAAACAAAATAAACGGGAAGGGCCTACGGCCACCGACGCTCCGATAGAGATCGATGACATGGCAAACCCTGTTTCGTGCATGATGCTATGCATTGCATAGATGTCATTTAGGAGTTATCACTTAGTGGCCGGCGCGCAGCGTCATTGAGCTCAACCGGAGCGGCACGGAACAGTTTAAACAAATCAACAAAGTGTAGCAAAAAAATCGTCACTCTAACTACATGTTTGACCTGAATCGAAGTCCTTAATAACAATTACTACGAGAGCGGTCTTCTCGTGTCCTTGTTACTCTAAGATTATCCGCGATATGGCTGGATATTAGATTATTTTTGTGGATCGAACGGCTTTTGCTATCCGTAAATGCGTATATCATTGCCAGAGAGATGTAGTGATATCCATAGAAAATGGAAAATGTCCGTATTTGTACGCATTCATAATTATATGAACCCTATTAGACAACTGGCAGGAAATCTGTGGTGGCACGTAGGCGACCGAGTTCGAAAATGATGCAAAAGAAACACTCAGCCGGCATCAAAAAACAGTAAAGTCAATAAACTGTAACAGAAATGAAGACAATAGTCCACAACCTTTGTGCGTATTGACGTCAAAGGAAAGCGCTTCAAGAGCGACTCAAACGCTTGGAGAGTTGTTTTGGCTCACGTAAGTTTAAACTGCTATAGGAATGCCTTGAAATTTTCATACATGAAACTTATCGGGATATCCTTTTTATAAATACGTATATGGCTTTAACGGGCCTATCTGTATACCCTAGTCTCCGATTACCTCGCCCCCCAGCCACGTTTTGTACGTCCTCAGATACTTTGACCTAATGATCATTTTGCTATTTCATTGTCGTATTATAGAAACAACCCTCTTTAGTAGCGATCGTTACGAGGACGGCCTCGTATATATGGCACATCATGCCATCAGTATCCGGAACTCGACCATACCTCGAACCAACCTTACGCCATAGATCACTTTTTAGTGCCATGGTAGGCTCCCAAGGCTAACGCAAGGGTCACTCTCCCGCAAAGAATAGAGGGGGCAGTACCAGTCGCAGGGAAACAACCGATTCGGACACGATTTTTTGTTCTTATCTACCGCTATGTCCCTCTTCGAAAACACCAGTACAATGTCTCTAAAAGAGCCATCTTTCTGCGCTGCCGTCGGGGTTCTTTCAAAAAGCCTGTGTCCTCTTTCATTGCAGAGCGTTAAACCAGGCCTTTCGGTTGTGCGCCTTTAACTCATAAATGCAAAGCGTACATCTCTTTTTCTATATTTTCCTGTTATAGTTGTTTGGTAGCGCCAAGTATAAGAATTTAGTTCGGCATAGCCTTGGGTGGACGTACCATCACGAGCATCATCATTTGCGACGATTTCACAGATTCTACCATTGTTGCTATCTCTGCCTAATCTAATTTGAACTCGTCGCATGATTACGGTACTTGCTCAACATACATATATGCATAGTTGTCCCTTCTTGGTGCACCAGAGTACCAAGACCTCACCACTGGAGTATACGCTTATTACCATACCAGTTTATTCGCTAATGCTTCTCATTGAATACTGACAGGTACGAAAAATGCTGCGTCTGCACCAAGCCCGTCGAGCACCGCTGCTGCCCCGCCTGCACTCAGTCGCTGTGTGTAATCACAAACATCGTAATGCAGGCGTCCTCTATAGTATATAGATATTGTTCGACGATCCCTGTTGACATGACGCGGCAGGACGCTGCTTATAGATACGAACGATCCCTACAAAGGACCTACGAGCCGAATCCATTCGACTATCGCCCGCAATGCGTCTGAATACAAGAACGATGATACTAATCAGACCCAACACCACAGCACTGGCCTGTAGAAAACCAAACTCTTTTATCCTTTTGTCGTCTGCCTCGTGGAAGAGCCCATTTCGCGACCCCATGACCCACCCACAAAGACAACCGACCCCTAAGCAAACGCATCTCACACAAGAGCCACTACCAATAGGAGACGGGAAAGCCCCGCAGAGGGAAAGCACTCCCGTTGATGGTCATAAATCTCCCATGAACATCATTATCAAGCACGGCCATCGAGCGCAAAAGGATGGCACAGGGGAGGGATAACCATTGCTAGCCAAACATCTATTTTCCTCGCATTGACTGTCTCGATAACACCAGCAATAGCAGTAGCGACCGCGGCCGAGATGAGAGGAAATTTAGCTTTGTCCAACTTGAAAAACGCTATGTGAACGGCTTCAAGGTAACAACTCTACACAGTTAAAGTTGATAATCGCTGGAACAGTGGCCTTCAACGTGATGCAAATTGTTTCTTCGTTGTCGGCACGACTATTTCGTACCTGGGTTGTGCGAACTCAGAGATTCTGAGAGATGCAGACCTACCTATGGGAAACAAATTAGGCACCCTTATGGCGGAAACATCTTGTTCATGCTGATGCACAGCAATGCATAACATTAAAACGTCACCAGCAAACGTACAACGACGTAAAAAGACGTACATGTCTTTTTTTTGGCATTTATTGCCGATAATTGGATAGTTCGCTAGGAATCAAGGCGGCCTTACGACAGCGCGTGTTTCGATTTATCTCACGGATATGTTAATTTTATGATTGCACGGCGGTGAACACAGCATGTCAGTAAATTAAATAACAATATTATAGTCTAATTAAATAGCGATATGATAGCCGATGGGATAGGCGACACGGGACCAGTTAGGCGGGCGTCACTTTTCACACTTGTCACATGTATAAATATAATCATTTCACTAATTATGTCTTATGTTGTCTTATTATTATTATATATAATTAACTTGATGTGTAGCGTCGGACGAACGGCCGATGTTAAGGTACTTGTTTAGGACTTCTCTGGCAGGGAACTTTTGTCCACCAATGATCAGTACTCAGACATTGCGTTGAACACTGTAACTGATTAACATAACGTAAGAGTGTGCATTGAGAAAAGGCTGGATAAATGAAATTACAAGTTATAGACATCGTAGCAGTTATCCTCGACTACTACGTGCTTCGTATTAATTGATTTCTCTTTGGCTTACAAGTTGTGGGTGCTGTCATCGCTCAGCCTAAAGCCTTACGCTCCTGTTCAATTTTGAGCTCGATTAGAATATAAATGATGATGCATCAGCATCGTCCATAAGCAATTGACTATTGGTATCTCTTTCATATTACAACGAACGTACCTGTTATGTTTTCCTTAGTTGTTCTATATGTGAACACGTCGGCGGCTTTATTTTCTGCTAGGTATAATTTACAGGATTTGCCCCAGCTAGGAATCTAATTGAGGTAGGTTTTGCTGAGCTTTCTCCAGCAAGCCTTCAAAGCGGCACAACTAGCCATTACTTGAACAATAATTCCTTGCTGAACATTGGGTAAACTCTCGTACCAGTCACCCTCTGTTGCGAGCAAAACCGGCGTTAGCTCCAATAGGCAAGTGGTGTTAGAGATGGATTGAACATGTTAATTGCAACCAACATTCAACAAGAGTTTCGACATCATCAGTCTTCAAAGCCGAAAAAAAAGTTGGCAACCTTCACGGACGCCACGTTTCATTAAGATGACTTTGGTCGCATAGAAAAATTTAATGAAAAAGCGGTTCATTCGATATTACTCTGTTTCCTTTTGTTTTGAGACAACCATTCATGAGACACACAATACTAGTTATGTACATCGACACTCGAAGTTGCAATCGTACATTTTGTATTCAAGTTGCCGTATTATTCTTTTTAACAGTTGAAATTTAATCGAGAACTGAGAAATTTTCAATCCGGCGTTTTTCTCGCTCTGAATGCGGTTTGAAGCGAACGACTCAGCTAATGACTTGTGCCGCTTTGTATTTGTTGTTGTTGTTGTTGACGCTGTAACAACATAAAGATGTTATCATACGATTTTCGCTCCATCTCAACGATATCGTAAATTAACAATCGTCGTTGCAGTCGGCGGCTTTCGGTTAGATCGCGGGGAGGCAGTTGTGCGCGGCCATCTTGGCTCTGACTTGCGAGTGGGGGGTAAAAGTACTCTGTAAAATAAATTAAATATGGACGGGAAAAACGTTTCTGCTGTGTCCGATATGCGGAGCGAGCGAAAAGAAAGGGCGCGCCATGGTTCGGGTAGGCGAAACAACGTATCGATGGACCTGGTATGGCTTTCTAAGTCTAAATCGCAGCTGATATTAATTGCGACGCAAGTGTTTATCTATTTTATAATAATACACAAAAATTAGCAGCATCGATGCTCGGTACGTAACCGCGAATCGAACACGGCTAAACTTCAGCGTAATACGCCCCGGTCGGTTACGATGACCGTCTGCCAATGTAGAGAAAGAAAGGCTTGCAAGAAGTGAACCTTGCACAAAATGGTAACCACTCGTCTACCGCTCTTACCGATCTTAGCACAAATAAGTGAATCTAATCTAAAGGCAACAAAGCCGAAAGGAGCCTTCCTAATGCAAACTTGTCGAAATTCAACTCGAATAATGTGATCCGTAAACGTTTCCATGTCAAGTTTCTAAACTTACTGAAAAAACGCCATAATCCATCAAGGAAAAGTCAAATAATGACAGTGTTAATCCAAATTTTGTGAGTAAAGTGTCGAATCAATACGGATTTCAGCTTGAGATTAGTTAGCAGCAGACGGCATTCTAAAAACCTATATCAAGCTATATAGCGTATACCGCGCGATCAACTGCTTGAAATCAAGGAGAGAAATTAATCAAATATAGTATTCCAAAACTTACTTTGTTCTTTACGTTTTTACACTAGAATTTGATAAGCGTTTTCGATAGTTCGCGACCCAAAGCTCTGCCAAGTGCTATGTCTGTCTTGTTCGAACGTTACCTTTTAGCGAACAATACCGCATATATATATATATAAAAAAAATTTGCTTTTGACTATATTTAATGATCTGTAAGGAGTACAACAAGTGTTCTGGCTAACTTGGCCAAAGGTTAGCGCATCGCTAGCTTGAACTTACCTTCATCGCGGTCGACAAGCGCTATCGGCCAGGGCAACACCCAGACAAACGTCCGAATGACGCACGGACCGACTAACCGTTCGCTATTATACTCACGCTATAATATTCTTATACAGTCGCAAATGAGTATAACCTTAAACGCTTGACTGCGTCAATTTAACAGAAGCCCACTGATAATAACATGGATCTCTTCTTATTTATTTTTCTCAAGGCTATTAACAGCAGTTCCGAGCTTTTTTGCATGCTTTTCCTAGAATATTTCAGCTTTTTCTTGCCACCCGAACTGCCCATTTTTGCCTTTCTTCTGTTGATTCTCTTTCGATCAGTAGATCGATAGGACGATGTATTAAGTAATAACAGTAAAACTGCGCCGTTACATAGCTACGACTATCTCCGCTATAACGAATACAACTAATACATTGGCCAGAAAAGCTGACTAAAGTAGAGACTGCTTATGAAAAACGCGGAGTGCACAAAAGTGTCTATCAATCGATAGAAGGAAAAATGGATTTCGCTATTTTCCTGCCTACCGGGCTTATGGGATCATCATTTTCGGTTACGCTGCATAGGTTGCCTCTATCACTCCAACCACAGCAGCCCCAACCGCTGCGCCAATGACGGCGAGAATTGAGAAAACAACAAATATTATAGCTACGAACAACCTTATTTATGGTTAAAACAGCAGCAAAGTAGATACTGCGATATCAGGAGCAATAACAAAGAAAAAAAACTCTATCGAAAAAAAAAAAAAAAAAAAAAAGAAATGATTAATAAGGATGCAATAATCATAATAAAATCCTCTCCATTCTCGTCCTGCGACCGTCGGTGCTTTTTTCGCGCCGTTTCCCCAAGCCAGTTTAATCCAATCGTTGTTTCTGGGTCCGTTTTGCGGTATCCAAACTTATGTAAATGTGGAATGTGTTCATTGATAAGTGGCCGCGTATATGTTTTATTAAGATGAGTTATTTGCTTACGCTATTGGGCCGGTAACGAGACCATGAGGCCGCCCAATGGTGAAGTGAGAATACTACAGGTTGGCTATTTTAACAATAAAGAGCAGGCCCACTTCTATTTTGAATGCAGACTAGACAGATCAGCTTAAGGGGCGGGAAGTCGGACACTATTAATTAATTTACGAGCTCTGATACCAACATATATTCAGTTGGCGTCGGAGTTTAAGTAATGTGAAGAGGTCAACGAAAGTATGCAAGGTCGACCCAAGGCTCACTTTCGTGTGCCTTCTCACAATTAAATAAACTAAATAGAAACAATGACCAATAAGCATGATCCCGCTAAAGGAGGTCCGATTAAGCGTACCTTCTCACTACTGAACTCATCCAGATGCTGGGATATTTCAGTTGCGATAGCCCAGCTTAACATTATTTTGTATTCTGATTGACCCATTCGTCTACATGAACGACATTAATGGATCTTAGCGGTACTATCGGGCGACACCACACTTAGCCGATAGCAGTATTTGGCTTACTCATTGATCGATAGTATTACGTAAAACAAAAAAATCGAGTGGTCGGTTAATGGTGATGTCTGGAATTACTTACTATTTGATTAGGTTCTATGAGGACAGTTTCAATGAGAGCTTTATCCGCTTCAGAGAATCTCCTCATCCATTCCCGCAACAATGCAAAAGCAGAGCTCGTTTCTGGTCTATAACTTTCAAATATTCTACTGCTTCCCGCGTAAATTTAACAGACCCTCGATGAGATGATGTACTTAGCGCGAAGTACTCGTTTATCCAAACGGTAGTGATTACTTTGTAAATTGTTCTGTTAGATACCAATCATCCGTAGTTGCACCGCATGCTAGCTACGAATGCGAGTCAATCTCTGAATGATTATTTTAATATCTGCTTCGACAAAACGTATTTCTTTGCTACTACTAGTTCTAACAACTCAATCGGTAGGAACAGACACGTTTATTAGCAAAAGCCTTTAAGAACTAACTGGTCTAAAGTGACCCACGATGCAGCCGCTCTACTTTGTACTTGAAACGAACGGTCGCACACGTTTATGGCCCGTTACTTATTGTTCTATGTATCCATGCGGTTAACTACGCTAGTGGTAAACTAGTGCTATTCGTAGTGGCAGAACGACCATATTGTGCTTTTAGCTTGTGCCCTGTCAACTACAGTCAAGTTATACTGGCCGGAAGCACTTGTAGGACGTGCATGTCGATGTCCTAAGTATGCAAGGCGAAACTACAAGATTTATCTGCATCTGCATTTAGGCTGCGCAGGGTTGTGGCAATATGAGTATTTTTATTATTGTCCTGTCAGGTCGTTGTATCGTCGTCCATCGACCCGGTATGGCTGGCCGAGAATTGTGTAAAAACCTAATTTCTTGCTCTTATAGAAATTTCTTTGGAGTAAAACAGGACAAGCTGTTACATTGATTGGCCGCTAAACTGAAACCGTAGACTCAAAAGCAGATCGGCCTTAACAACCAGTAAAGTAAGAGAGAGGTCCAACTGCATAGAATCTCAAAGGTCTAAACAGTGGAAAACGTCGATCGACTAAACGAGATGATCGGCAAAACAAATTTAATGCTTGATTGCATGCAGGCCGATACACGAAGTTATGATTCGTTTGTGCAGACATTGTATGTATTTATAACTACAAACGTTAATTGTGATAATATTATGACACTGTAGTGACGAGAGGTTAGCGCAAGTAGAGACGATCTGAAAATGGGATTGGCGGTGCCCGAAACTTTTTTTGACCGAAACCAGTAAACACCTAAATAAAATAAGGCAAAAAAGAATAGGTGCCTTTAATGGGGTTCGATAAAAATATGAGGACAAAATTCACCGAACATCTGCTTAAATTAAACAGCAATGTCAGATGATGACAAAGAATTTATGGAAGAGAAGGGCTGCCAATATGATCACCCTTCTAAGCGGATTATAATCAGTTCAAAGAAAAACTTCTCTACCAATCCTTACAGCGGTACTGACAAGAGACTCTGACGACCCGTCCGTATAGAAAAAAAAAACTACTCAAGCTAACTCTAAATTACATATCCACGAAATAATGAGTTTTACCCACTGGTGCCGGTACGGGCAACGAGACACCAAGTATACGAGCCACAGTATCTCGTTCTATGTAAATATTGGGAATTGCTATCAAACTAGATCAACAGCAGCGGAAATGTATAGCTCATCGCAGATATCCACAAAGTACCTTATTCCGCCTTCTCTGCCGCGGGTGTATAAATCGATATAGATACGAGGTGCGCCTACAGTTTGTGCTGCTTGGGAAGCTCTGCCCTAAAATGATTAATTTGTCTTCATTATATTGTATCTTCTGCTGCTGCTGCTGCTGCCGCCCAGGGTTGGGATTGAGATTGGTACTCAACTCTCAATTGAATCATAATGAATTTATCGGATTTAAGCATAAATTATAATCGACCGTCAATAGCTCGATACGTATTCTTCAAGCAGCTATTAACCGATCGAAGAGTACCAGTTATACGAATTAGCAAACCGGTTGTTAAATATCACCGGAAGACATAATTTTTTACAATATCGTATTTACGTCGCCAGTCTATGCAGCAAAAAAATTAACAGCTGAAAAATGCTCAACTTATTCATAGAAAAATAAACTAGTTAATTTCCAATATATAATATACGTGAAGATATGATCGATGCAACAAGTGTAAGCAAAGGGCTTCGATTGACGTAAAAAACGATGGGACGGCTTCCGGAGCTAAAGATCTGACTCAGACAAGATGTCAGGGATAGCACGATGTCAGACGGTAGTTTTCTGGCAACGGAAATAGCAAATCACTACTAGTAACCAATGCAACTGGAAGTAGGACTATGCAATCGAAATTCGAAAGCACCGCCGACACTACCGCGGGACGGAACAGTATATCCTAAGTAAACAGAAGCTATGATATGTGCATTAAAAATAAGTTTTTTTTGCACATATAACATTAACATTTTGCTAACTCGATATATTAGGAGCTTCTATCTCTAACAAGATGAAGAAATTCCCTTTCTCTTCAAAATAAAGATACATGAAGGCTCTTT